CTGTGTACTGCCTTATTGGTTTCCCAACAGACATCAGGGTGATTCAAGTCCCCCACGAGAACCAGGGCCTGCAATCTGGAAGCTTCTCTCAATTGTCTGAAGAAAGCCTCATCTACTTCATCCACCTGATTCAGTGGCCTGTAGTAGACACCAACTACAGCATCACTGCTGTTGTTTGCACCTCTAAATTTAACCCATAGACTCTCAACAGGTTTTTCTCCCTCTATATTCTGGAGTTCAGAGCAATCATAGTGCTCTCTTATGTACAGTGCAACTCCTGCTCCTTTTCTCCCAGGCCTGTTCTTCCTGAATAGTCATGGAAGGGTATAAACAGCACTCCCGTCACGAGACTCATCCCACCAAGTCTCTGTTATCCCAATTAAATCATATTTCTTGGACTGGGCCAGGCCTCCAGTTCTTCCTGTTTGTTGCCCAGGCTTCTCGCATTAGTGTACAAACACTTCAGATAACCTGTTGATCACCCCTATCTTCTCCATTTGAATCAGGGGTCCGTGCATTATTGCTGAATATAATAAAGCCAAATATATTACAAAACAGTGAATATAACAAACATGAGCAAGTCCACTGGATTACACGGTCAAACCAATTGTTCCCCATTTTGGAGTCATGCACTTGTTGGGGTTTTTTTTTCCTTCAAGTACTTTCGACTTGGCATTATTGAATTTTATCTTGCTGATATCATAACAATTCTCTAATTTATCAAGGTCCTTTTGAATTGTAGTCCTCTTCTTCAAAGTGCTAGAAACCCCACTGAATGTGGTGTCATCTGCAAAGGTAAGTGCATACTCTATTCCATTACCCAGGTTAATATGAAAATATTGACTAGTGCTTGATCTACACCGACTCTTGCAAGAGCCCAGTAGAGACATCTTTACAGTTGGTAGTGAACCAGTGATTATTATGCTTTCACCTGCGCAACCACGCATTTACTTCCTCAATTCAATGATCCCTGCTCAGTCCTTTCCCTTCAACAGGGAGAATGGACGAGAATACCACTTGCGCTCTGAATTCTTGGATCCTTCTTTCCAGCGCTACATAATCCGCAGTAACCCACTCAATGTTATTTGTGGCCATATCATTAGTTCCCACATGAAGAAGCAGGAAGGGGTAGAGATCCAAAGGTTTGATCAGTTTGGTAAGTCTATCAGTCACATCCTGAATTCGAGCTCCTGGTAAGCAGCACACCTCTCGAGATTCCAGATCCGGATAGCAGATGGATGGCTCAGTCCCTCTTAGGAGGGATTCCCCGACCACCACCACCCGTCATCTTCTTTCAGAGGTGGTGGTCATGGAACACCCATCCCTAGGGCTACTTATCCCATGCCTTCCAGTTGATGGTGTTCCTTTGCGGTTTCTTACTTGTAAGGTCCCTTCCAAAGCATTCACCACTGCAGAGCCTGTGGAGAGAGCCTGAAAGCGATTGCTTACCTCTATAGCATAGTGGGATTCCTGTGCTGGCCTTTTTCCCCACCTAGAAGTTACATGTTGCCAGTTCTCTCCGGGTCCCGTACTGCCCTCTGGCTCTTCCACTTGCTGTGCTTGCAAGATTAAACACTGCCTTCTATCGAGGAAGTCTTTATCCTCTCTAATCAAGCATGAGGTCGACACTTGGGCTTCCAGTCCTCTAATTTTTTCTTCCAAAATGGCAACCAGCTTGCACTTAGTGCAGATGATATCCATTCTTTCTTCTGGAAGGAAGACAAACATGGCAGGTGCTGTGCAAGTAACAGCAGCAGAGCTATTACCATCCATCCCTGCTGTCCTAGAGAAAGGATTTAAAAAGAAAGGCAGGAGAACCCTTCCCTCTCCCATTCTCAACTCCCCCTCTAAAATCCCTGTTAGCACTCACCTGTTCGCAAGCTCCTTGGTCGCTTGCCCACTAATTTATAAAGCCCTGGAGTGCCTGAAAGTCCCTCCCCCTACCAAGGCTCAGCCAATCAGCAGAGTCTTCTAGAATTCAAACTTTAATTAGAAGCCAACAGTTTCCACCTGCCACTCACAGCACACACTCCATGAAGGAGAGGGGGAGGGGAAAGGAAGTGAAAAAAATCCTCATTCACAAACACAGGGGAAAAAACAAAAACAAAAAAAACACCGCACACCAACCCTTACCTCACGCACACAGCAAGAAAGCCCCAATAACACACGCTTCCCCTCAAGAGTTGTGTATCTGCTTCTCCTTTACCTGGAGAACTCCCCCTATGAACTCCCTGGGTGCTTATGTTAGTCAGTGGGGGTTGGGCTCCGGATATCCCCCCCTTTTGCCAGCATTTCCCTTTGATTAGCTTAGGAGACTCTCAGCCTACAGTACTGCCTTTTGCAAATCTCATTCTTAGGTAACTCTCTCTCATCATTCATTGTACAGAGTGCCTATTTCAGACTATGTGGATGATAAGTGTTGTTCCCGGGATTTTGTAAGCATCAAAAAATTAAGTGGTGTAACACTGAACTTTCTCACTGAAAAAAAAAAAAAAAAGATGTAGTTTGGCTCCTTCCACTCATTTCAAAAATTAAAAGATTAGATAATACATTGAGCAGTTAGTGAAAAATGTTGCATTAACTCAATTATCCATTATTGAAGAGACATTAAAAGATGCTGTTTAGCTACTCTTTTTATATAATTGTTATATACTGAAAAGATAGAAACTGACAATATTTTAGCTTCCATTATTTTAATTAGACACAGAATACCACATGCAGTGTAATTAGTCTTTCATGACAAGAGGAGCAACTTGATTAGCTCATACAACAGTGTGAAAACACTGTTATAAAATGTTTACGTCTCTGAAACTATCAAACTTTCAATTTTTAAAAAGTAGTTCTGAAATATAAAATATTCAGTTCCATAACCAACTGTCAGATTTATTTATTTATTTTATGTTATTTATTTTTTTACTTTCTAGTGAGTTAGAAAGTGGATGCATCATATTAAAAAGAAGGATGGAAGAGAAACTATCATAAGATCCTTCATAACAAATAAATAAATAAATAAAATAAAGAGCAGTCCTGTGCACCTTAGAAGGATCAGGGCTTTTGTAGGTAAGATCCACTCCATCAAATGTGCTGGAACGGAAATAACAGCATCCAAGATTTATATATAACAAGAAAGGAAGTACATGTCAATTGTAGGACCCGTGGTAAATAAAACAAATTAAGTGGGCTGGACATGAAAATGCAGATGATAATGGCAGGGAAACTGGCTTAGTGATTCGTTAACCAGTGAATGTTTTTATTCAAGCCTAGGGTGTCAGACTTTTAGATTAGTGATAGAAATGTAGCCGTGTTAGTCTGGGGTAGTTGAAGCAAAATGCAGGACAATGTAGCACTTTAAAGACTGACAAGATGGTTTATTAGATGATGATCTGAGGAAGTGGGTCTGGCCCATGAAAGCTCATCATCTAATAAACCATCTTGTTCGTCTTTAAAGTGCTACATTGTCCAGACTTTTAGATGAATTCCAGTCTGCAGTTTTTCTTTGTATTTGGGTGGCAAAACTCCTTTGTAGAAGAATGGCTACTTTTAAATCAATGCTTAAGTGACCAGATAAAATGTTGACCTACAGATTTGTGTTACCATGCCTGATGTCTGATTTGTGTCCATTTATCCTTTGTCTCGGAGACTGTCTAGTTTCGCCAACATACATGGCAGAAGGGTATGGTATCCCCAATATCCTTAGTTATAGTTGGTCCAGCTATGGAACCAAAAGCAACTGGGGAATGGTAGAACAGTCAGCTTAAGTTCAATACCTAGAAACATACTAGAAACAGTAATAAGTTGTAAGAACCCATATGATAAGATGACAGTAATAGCTACCATGAATTTGCCTATGTCTAATCATTCCAAACCAACCAAACCAACCAAATGTCCATCTTTGACAGAGTAAGTGGCCTCATATATGGGGGAAGCAGTAGATAAACTCAATATATATCATAATAAGACTTAGAGAAATTGGAGGATTTGGCCACGAGAAATCTGATGAGGTTCAACAAAGACAAGTGCAGAGTCCTGCACTTGGGACAGAAGAATCCCAAGCATTGTTACAGACTGGGGACCAACCAGCTAAGTAGTAGTTCTGCAGAAAAAGGCCTGGGGATTACAGTGGATGAGAAGCTGGATATGAGTCAACAGTGTGTTCTTGTAGCTAAGAAGGCTAATGGCATATTAGGTTGCATTAAGAGGAGCATTGCCAGCAGATCCAGAGATGTCATTATTCCAGATTATTTGGCTCTGGTGAGGCCACATCTGGAGTAGTGTGTCCAGTTCTGGGCCCCCCACTACAAAAAGGATGTGGACGCATCCGAGAGGGTCCAGTGGAGTGCAACCAAAAGGATTAGGGGGCTGGAGCATATGACCTATGAGGAGAAGCTGTTTAGTCTGCAGAAGCAAAGAGTAGGGGGAATGGAAGGGGGATTTGATAGCAGCCTTCAACTTCCTGAAGGGAATTTCCAAAGAGGATAGAGAAAGGCTGTTCTCAGTGGTGACAGATGGCAGAACAAGGAGCAATGGTCTCAAGTTTAGTGGGAGAGGTCCAGGTTAGTTTTTCTTAATATCCATTTCACTAGGAGAGTTGTGAAGCACTGGAATGGGTTAGCTAGGGAAGTAGTGGAGTCTCCATCCCTAGAGATGTTTAAGTCTCAGCTTGACAAAGCGCTGGCTGGGTTTATTTAGTTGGGATTGATCCTGCCTAGAGTAGGGGGCTGGCCTTGATGACCTTCTGAGGTCTTTTCCAGTTCTATTATGCTGTGAACCTACAGGTGTGCATCCTGTAAGACATTGATGTTAGCAGTTAACATGAAGCTTAAGACTTGCAAACTTTGGCATAGATAAACTTAAGTAGATCATAAGTTATAAGAAATGGATGTAGGAAGTGAGGGCGAATCTTGGGCACATGACCTCCAATGACCATAGAACAGGTGCCGGCATCAGCTTCTGGAAGGTTCTAGATGGAACATCTGACCACAAAGAGTTCCATGGCAACTAACTGATGTATATGGTAATGGGCTGAAATCAGAGATATACTAACCTATAGGAAAAGGACACCCTGGCATTGCTAAGGAGAGGAAATATAAATAAGTTTAAGGGTAACCCCTCTTCATATGCATTAGACCTGGTAATGTCAGTGTAACAGCCTGTACTTATAAAATTAGCAACCCAGGGCAGCAAAGGTAGAGACCTAGATCTTGGGAGAGGCTAGAACGGTGGCCACTGGTAAAGACAAGGAAGGTAACAATAATAAGGAAAATAAGGGCTAGCAACCAGGTTCTGAAAAGCATAGCGTAAGTATGGATATTACAATGTACTTTCTGTATTATCTCTGTTTTATTTCTATCCACCTGAGTTAGCATAGATCTGTAAATAAGTGATTTGTAAATATACTATAAGAAATATTTTATGAGTGTTGCACCTGTGCACACTGGGGTTCCCAAATGTAAAATCTCTCTCTCATTTTCTACGGGATGACAGAATGCACTTTTGTCCTGCCACCCTTCTGCTCTCAGCCACACAGTCTCTTCCTTCCCCAGTGCTTCAGGGGGGCGATGCCATGTGGACTCTCCCCTTTCCTCTTCCCCACTGCTTGGAGGAATCTGGGGCTGCCACAGACTCAGCCCAGCTCTCCCTGGCAGCCAAAGGGGCGGTGAGACTGGTACCCGGAGCAGGGGGTGTATGTGTGAGAGAGAGACTGGCATTGGCACAGCCTCAGCCCTGGCCATCTCCGGAGGCTGGGGGTGGGACTGAGACACTGGCTCTGGCATGGTCCCAGTCCTCCCCAGCAATGAGCCCTCCCCGACGCAAGAGACTGGTGCTGGCTCAGCCTCAGACCTCTCCCCTCCCCTGTCCCCCCACAACCAGAGGAGGGGCAAGAGACCGGTGGGGGCAGACCCTGAGCCTCCCGCCAGCTGGGGAAGAGGTGCCGAGAGATTGACGCTAGTGTGGGTCTGGGTCCTCCCCAGCAGTCGGGAGTGCTGAGAGACTGGGGCAGGCACGATCCCAGTCCTCCCCAGCAGCTGAGTGAGCCAAGAGACTGGTACTGATGTGGCCCCCAGCCCTCGCTGGAGGCCAGAGGGAGGGAAGGAGAGAGTCACTGCTGGTGCAGCTTCGGCCCTCCCAGGCAGCCGGGTAAAAAACTATGACCGTACCCCTAGAGAGGCGGGCTGGTGAGCACGCTGAGCAGGGGACACAGCCCACTAGTAACAAACAATTTTTCTGGCCCTGATCCTGGGATCAGGACCTGTCAACTCTCAGAGTAATATATGGGAATTGTGGGATCAGGCTATAGACAGTAGGAGTACATTATAATGTGATCTTTTCTGTATCACAAACTGAACATGATCCAACAATGAGATGCACTCACCAAAAAGGTAACAAGTCTGGGATGTATTAACTAGAGTGTCAAAGCTAAGACATTGGAGATAACAGTTCTGTTCCACTCAGCTCTGGTGAAGCCTCAGCTGGACTATTTTGTACAGTTTGGAGAGCCTGCGCAGATACAAAATTTGTATCCGTATCTCCCAAAATGGTCCACAGATGTGGATACCGGTGGCAATAAAAGTAATATCTGCAAATTTTTAGGGCTCTCCCAGTTTGGGTAGCGCACTTTAAGGAAGAGAGAAACAAACTGCAGGAAGTCAGCCCAATGGAAAGAAATACTGGAATTCCCATCACTAGAGGGTCTTACAAAACAGACTATATCTGATAAGTGTTGGTCTATACCTAGGTTAGACAATCACAGGGAGCTGGAGTTGAATTCTCAAATTTCCTTCTAGGCCTACATTTCTATGATTCTATTACTTTAACAGAAAAAAGTTTTTTGTACAATTTATTTACACTGTGTAATTAATGCAACTGTAAATCACAACTTATTCATATTTCTTGTTTGCATGGACTTTCCTGTCATCATTTTGCAGTTGCATTCGTGCTTATATGATGAAAGTTAAGAGCATTTTACAGCATCTGAAAGTTTGAGGGTACAGGAAAAGGTGTTTATTTTTAAAGCAAGTTGATTAGATTTCAAATTGATAATGTCACATTACATAAAATATGAAAAGCACCACAATTTGTTAACTGCACTACATTTAAGGTTGGCTTTTGTTGCGTGCTGACTATTAAATAAATAGAAAGCTTTTAAAATAAAAATTAAGTTATATTACCAAACAGCAGGTATCAGGCTCATAACCATAGACTAATTGTTTCTCCAGAGAAAAAGCTCCATGACAGCACAGTCAGCCTATTTCTTCAATTAATTACAACTGTAAATCTAATCTGGAAGTACTGTGCTATTCTCTCTGGAAAATGCTAGTATTTTGAAGTATTTCAGGTCAGATTCTTTTAAATAAAAGTTGTTGCAATTTACTTTATTGGGTTAAAAAGTACTTCTGTATAAACACTACTCTCTCCACAAATGAATAATTTGATCTAATTCCAGAAATTAGCTTGTTTTATGCTCTTAAATTCCTTTGTGTAGATATTTGAAAATACAGCTAGGAACATCTGAAAATTTTACCCACCATCAATATTCACTCCCTAGGAGAAAGCAATAGTGAGTCCTAATTACTTTGAAAAACAAAGCTGCTTCATCAGCTAATAATCTTACCATCTACTCTCACAGCCAGGTAAGCACGAGTTCTGCATGGCAGCACATTGTCTTCACAGTTTAAACATATTCACACACCAACCACCACACATTGCTAAGCTAGTTTGTTGCTATGGTTGAACAGCTTAAGTTTGACAGAAATTAAAACAGGAAATTTTCTGAATCACCTGAAGTCTAATTCAGTAATTTAGTATATATGTACTACTTGAAATACGTCTAGGGTAGACAGATCTTCAGTATTGTCATGGACAGTCTGGTATTTTCACCTCTGTCCAGTTTAAAAAAAAAAATCAGAAAATACCCGTGTCCGATTTTTTCCCCCCTGCCAGGAGACAAAATTACCAAACACCTGGCAATCCTATCACACTCAGCAACTGGGCCCAGCTGCCACCCCATCCGAGCCCCGTCTCCTCCCCCTCTCCTCCTCCCTCCACTACCTGGTTCTGCAAGGGAGCTCTCTTCCAGCACAGAGTAAAAAAAACAAGATGGCCACCAGCAAAAAAGTCCCAAAGGTCTTAAAGGGGTCATGCTGGGTTTTGTATTTTTGTATTTTTTTTCGCTTAACAACATTGGGGTCCCTTTTTTTTTTTTCATTAAGCCATCTGGTAACCCTAAACAGGTGGGTCAAGAATTTAGGTTAAAGGTGCTTTGTTTTATTTTTCTTATAAATTCCAATGTGCTTAAAATAGTGCACTGAGACTGTACTTCAGTTGAAAAAGTATTCAGCTTATAAGTAAAGAAAGATGTATGATTATTAACTCTAGGTGTATTTTCATACATACCTTTCATTTGACTCAATCCCTTCAGCATTACACAAGGTACTTGTAATGAGCAGGGGTGGCTGCTCACTGACCCCGAGCAGGGAAGAACTCCTCTCCAAGCCCAGACAGGCCAAGCCGGGTCCTGCCCCTTGAACTCCATGGAGGCCAAGGGGCAGGGCTGGGCTAGGAGCATAAAAGCCCAGTCCAGGAGCTCAATAGAGCTTTAGCCACTGGAGGAAGCAGAGGCCTGCCCTGAGTTCCCAAGCCATGAGGGCCCAGAGGACCTTGCAGAGGCTGAGGACTGACGTGGACTGTTCTTGCTCCAAAGAAGAGACCTTCTACACCTTGCCTAAGGGTTCAGACTACCATGACCCTGAGGACCAGCAGCCAGCATGGAGCTAGGTAGATGCGGAAGGGGAAATTAGGAAGTGGCCCAAGGGAAGCTGATAGCTGATTTCATAAGATTTTGGAGTGCCAGCGTGTTTTGGGCCAAATCCCCGCTGACTCCAGTGGCAACCAGGGCTGCCATTGCTAGGCCCCTTGGCCCGGGACGTGGTGGAGCAGGGAGGGCTCACGTCCCCTTGCCACCACACATGCTGGGTAGGAGTCACTTGTTCCTGGGCAACTCAGGCCCTGTGGTTTGAAAGGGGCTGCTGGACCTTTACATACAAGCCTGAGCACAGATCAGGGGCCCAGGACTAAGCTAGCCATCTTACAGTACTTTTATGCAAATTATTTAGCACTAAAAGTAAAAAAAACAATTGCAGTGTAGTCACAGATAATAGTAAAATACAGTGATTCACAGATTATGCTGGCAGACTGAACCACAGCTGTTAATATGTACTAAATAATCTGAATTAAACCACTGTGTGGATGCTTGCATTCAGAATTAAAAGTACCTTATTTGGGTATCATGTAATTAACTTTGGAAGCAATTTACAGCAAACCAAGTAAGGTGGCCTTAATTCTCAATGAATCTACATCTTTGGGGTTTAATGCAGATTAACTGTTAACATGAACTAATTTAGATTAATTTTTCCTGAATGCCTCTTAAAACAAGCCCTGAGAAGTAGATGGGTTTGGAACTTTTTTGTATTCTATAGCCATTCAGCACTGTAGTTGGCTCTACTAGTGTTATTCAAGTTGCATGTCCATAATATATAAATCAGTTATCCATTTGAAATCAAATTTCTTCCAGAAGAACGTCTGCACATTCATACACTTGGAATGTGATTACAATCAAAGTTGACCAAGCAGAACTTTCTAGTAGTAATAGTGTCTGTTAGTGCTCTTGTGTGTGCCCTGCCTTTCTCTGGTTATAAAGCAGTATCCTTTTCTTTGAATGGTCTCTGCATGTGTTCAAGCCACATCTACATTACAAAGTTATATATAAAAAACAAAATCACATGAGTACAAAGCTACCACAGTTAGTACAATTGCTTGTGTGCACAAATTTAAAACTTTAACCAAAGATTGCAGATGACCTTTGTGATGGTAAGGAGGAGTGCTGGCCAGCACTCAGTGACTAACAGGTTAAACTCAGATAGCTGGGGGTGCTGGTAGGAAGCTAAAAAAGCCAATGAGAGACTGTTTAAATTTAAAGATATACCTGCCTGTTGCTCTCTCTGTGTGAGTTTAAGCCTGCCTGCTCTCTTTGTGTGAATTTAAGCCAGGAGGTGAGGGAAACAAATGAACTAACCCAGGCAGGACTACCATGCCTAAAAGGAATACTGGGCATGGAAATGGACTGGACCTTGAAGTGGATCATGAGTAGATAGGGGAAAATGTATATTTAGTTTCAATCAGGCTATTTTCTTTGAGGTTTTTTTTTTTGGTTGGTTGGTTAAGCATCTGTAAAATCCATGCCCCACCCTCCCATTCACGATCTCTGATAGATTAGAAATACAAACTGTTATCTAAGGTG